GAGAAATAGCTGTCCTAAGCAGTCATCTAGATATTTTCACTGAGCTCATTGCAGGACTATTTAAAGTGTGGTGTGGGGATTATTTTTTGCAAATGTTGTCTAAATGTTTTAGTTTAAAACCAAAACCAAAGCCACCCCAAAATCACTAACTTTTTGCATCAACAATATTCAGATTTTTCCTTGCATATGACAAAGGCATTAAACAGCCCAGAATTTGGTGGTGAATACTTTGGGCCAACACCTGGGCGAAGCATGGCAGAACATAATGCCTATTGTGTTATGGATGTATTCAGTACCTTCTGGATTTCTGTTTGCAGCCACCTCTAAAATCCTAAGAAATGCTCAAGGGCCGCAAAGATAAATTAGACATGGTGATCTTTCAGTGTCCAACTATTTTTTCTACTGACATCAGTTTGAGAAAATAGGAGTGTTGGTGGGTTTTATTGGGAAAATATCCGAAAACAGGCTGGTAACTATCTCTTTGCTTCAGAATGATGACAAACCTAGCCTAGAACTGAAGATCTCATGGCTTGCTACCAAAACATACCATCTCACCCACCTCTTCTTTCCTCCCTGCAGTAATAATTATTTCTAAGGAATCTGAGATTAAACTTCAGATAACAGCTCATCACTATGTCAGAGTCCTTTGGAGAGCTTTAATTAGCTTATTTTCTAGGAAGTCTGAAGATCTCTCTCATCCCTATCTTTCTCCCTCTCTAAAAGAATTTTCTGCCATTTCTGATTCATTCCTGATATGTTTCGTATTGGATTATAAACTTTGAATGCTTTAATTCCACACCAGAAAAATAATCTCCTTCAGAGAATGTCCCTAAAGGAAGTTTTAGTCTTTTTGCATTTATTGTGGTTATTTTAATTACTGAAAAATAGAGAAAAAAAGCAAAAGGCAACTCATGGACCTATTAAAAGAAATTTAATATTTATATAACTTATCCAACATTCTTTTGCTCTTTTCAGTTCATGCAGACTTATCATTCTTTTGTTTATGGATTTCCATTAAATATATTTTGGCATAATAAAAGTATGTGTATTTGATATTCTTAATAACACTCACTGCTTTGGCATTGAATTCTATTCTAAAGCGGGGAAATATGCCCTGCTTTCTGAGTGCAAAAGTGAAATAATTTGGATTGAAATAGATACAAACTTCTATCCCAGATTTGTACTGAATTGAGTTGAATATATACATGAACGTGGTTGAGATTGTATCTGTCTGTAGGAGATACAAGATTTTCGGATACCAAGTGTCAACCTTTAGTGTTCTATCAAAGACTTTTGTGAGGAACTGCAGAACTACAGAAAGCTCTGCACAAAGAAAGCATAAGAACAAAAGGAAACTTGTTTGGATTTTTTTTTTTTTTTTAAACTAGGTTTTTCTCCTTTGTGCTTCTCTCCCTCTCCTCTGCCCTCTCCTTCTCCTCTCCCTCGCCTTTTCTCTCCTCAGACAAATTATTTACTTCTTCTATGCCCAGTTTCCCCCTTTACTGAAAAGAAAAAAGAGGTCGGGGCGGTGCTTTTGTTGTTTTCACTGGTTGTTATGAGACCTTGCTCATTGCTCTACTGCTACTCTTTGGAGTTGAGGAATGGCTACTGTGAGAGATTTCTACGTAGACAACTGATTTTCTTGGACTTCAGATTTGGTTCAAAATTATGCAGTTCTCACTTGCAAAAGTTATGAGCAACTCAACCCCAAAAGAATTAAATTAAATCTGCCTGCAAAAGCTGATATAGCATGCCAGATCTCTGTATGTGAGAGAGATCATGTCTCCCTACAGCAATGATCCCTCTCCATGACATGAACTTCTTACTGCTATTAGAAAAATTTACTTATTTAGTTCAAGTTCTAAAGGTACATGGTTGCTTAAGACAAACGCTGCTTTGGGGAATCAAGTGGAGGTGAAATAGACCGGTCCAAAACAGCAGAAGATCAAACTCCCATCAAATTCGCCAATTTATCAGATGACAGTCACTAGTGTAAACTTACCTCCCAGTTTCCTACCAGTCTACTTCAAACTAAAAATGGAGGAGAGATCCTTTGAGTGGATGAGAGAGGTTGCTATTGGAGTGTTTTCTCCACGTGTCGACTACCAAGGCTGTGAACTGGGGCCTTGGCCCACGCCGTGCATAACTCCACGGCAGTCAGTGGGGTTCTGCCCCAGGCCCTTAGCCTGTCTTTCTGCTGCGAGCTGCAGTAATGGCTTTCCTCGTGTGGAACTGTGTTTACGGAAAGCAGACTGAACTGGCCACACACAAGCCATCATTATCACCTCCTAGTAACCCTGCAAAGCACAGGACGACAAGCCGCTGCTCTGTATTTTCATAACCCTGCAGTAATTACTGCCTGGCATCTGTAATGGAAATAAATTGCATAACATCAGAGTTTCTAAGATGACACTGTTTTCATTATATGTTTAATTTTTCAAAGAACATAAAGGCAGATACATCAAAATGCCAAGGAGCTTTTTTTAATTAAAGCCGCTATCTTTTTTCTTTCCTTCTCAAGATATGCAAATGGATTAAGCCATTAAAGAGAAAGATAAAAGGAACCCAAAACACTGTTTATATCTAGCCTTTATGACTGCAGCTACTTATTTTGCAGAAGACATTATTTTGACTGGACCAAGTTATAGTGGAACTTGACATAACTCAAGGCTGCTTTGCAGTGCTACAGGGGCAGACAGTGACTGGAAGGATGTTTTACCTCATTTTGGGAGGTTTCACCTCACAGCATAGATCCTGCACCCAGATTTCATGCAGTGCTTTGCCAGAGGTGGCATTCTTATACCCCCACTGTTGTTCTGCTGTTTATGATCATGCTTTGGGTTACTTGGTTGGCCCATGTTTGGAGGAAAACGAGAAAGTGGATTACAGCTAGTTCCCCTCTTCTGTGATGAAGCTTCTTCTGCTATAGCTTAATATGCTACATATGATTACCATTGATATAATGTACCTTACATAAGGTACATATAATGTACCTTCTCTTCAGAACATCGCATGATCCTTGAAAAATGGGCATAGCTGGCAGCAGGTGAAAAGTTGTCTCTGTCCAAATCATTGGCATAAATCTTCCAGACTGCTTAGCCCAGGATTTTACCTGAGAGTCTTGGGATCAAGATCCATGTTATTTAGTTGGCAGGACAGAGTTTAGGTGGTGGGTTTCACTGAGGTAATTTAATAGCACTGGCACTGTAGCTTTTTTGATTAGCCTTGAAATAATTAGCAAGGACATTTGGTTCTGTGCTTCACTGTAGATGCTGCCCGACCTCTCTATTCCAGGCCTAGGAGCCAAATAAGCTCAAACAAACTGATCCAAATGCTGAAGTGCTTATTCAAGCAAAATTCACTGTTTGTTTTCCTTAAATAAAGATTAAATAAAAACTGAATTAGGACTTCTGGAACTGGCTCCTTACAAGCTAGAAGACAACGCTTCAGAGACAAATAACAGAAGATCAATGCATAAAAGTCCAGTACAGATAGCACTATTTTTTTTATTTTTATTTTTTTCTTATATATTATCTACAAGCACAAGCTTTCATATTTTTAATGTAAAAATGCTTACAGATCATTATATATATAAAAACGAACTAGCCTTGTAGCAAACTGCCAGATGCAACTATCCCCAGGTTTGGGGACAACTTGTCTGGATCCAGGTGCAAACCCGGTGGGTGGCTGATCCTTACTTCCATCCGTGGTTGCACTGAACCCCCAGATATGAAGATTTTCAAAGTTCTAGGGAAGTCTTGGTTCCTGATCCAGGTCTTGCAGCATGGGCATGACTAACTCTTCATCAATTGAAGATAAATATTTAAAAACTTCATAAATGTCAATCAACTTGTTGTAGGTAACAAGTATCCATTTTAACTTTCCCCTCCCTCTTTGTTTATTGATCTTCCTATCCTCTCTCCCCAGAAATGATAATGGACAGAGGAGAGGAATTTAATGTTAGTGTCATATATGTACATTTAAATAGCAGCAGTAGAAACTGAATTTAAATTGTTGATGTCTGCTGTGGAAAGGCTACCGAATGTGGGTTCATGTTGCACTTGGCCTGTTCAATGCTTGGGCACTTTTTGGCTCAATTTGCACACTGTAGAAATAGGACATGTTTATAGCATAGCCAATAATATGTTGCAACATTGTGAGCAACAGTAAATCAGATTGCATTTAATACTATGTATATGTATCAACAGATTATAATATACTATATTATAACTGGCGTGACAATCAACCCATTACACAGAGGAAAAAAAATTAATGAGCAATTAAGTAAAGAAATTTGTGTTTGTGTGGGAGGAAAGGTCACAAAACAGCAGCCTCCTTTTTGACAGTGTTTATCATGTTTGGCAGTTTCCAAATTCAGTCTTTGCAAAGGAATGTTACTATTTTTATTAGAGGTTCTTTATGTAATAAATCATGTTTGCACAGTGGAACATTTTTTTCACCAGGATTTTATAAATTCTACATACAGGCACTACAAAAGAAGATAAAATTTGCTGGGATTCTTTTGGATTATTTTAGCCTCTCCTTCCCTTCAGCTCCCCCATATGAATATGGTTAATTTTTTTTCTCTTGTCATTCAAATATTATCTTTTTGTATTTTAAATACAGCTCAACTCTGAACCCCAAGAAAGGTTTTCCGAGAAAAGAACTGCGGAAGTTGTTTTAGAGAGGGATAAATCAATTGTTTAGCATACCGACATAAAGACTTTCCTCTCAGATATGTTGCTATGGGATTGCAGGTAAGGATTTTGTTTACTTCAAATTCATGCAACAGCACTGATTTGAAAGATAACATAATGACTTAGTGTCTCAACTTGCAAATGCTCGCTCTGGCTCCTAATGTTGTAACATCCACGTTTGCAAGTTCAGACCTTCAGCTAATGACTACTGGTACGTGAACAGACACTAGCTCTTTCTTTTATACTCGTATTGATTGTGCATTACTGATAGGACAAAAAATGGCAAAACCCCTCTTTTTTTTAAAAAAAAAAAAAAAAAACAAAAGACAGGTGTGTCATGGAGACAGTGATGTCACCTGTTGCAAGAACCCCCTGCCCAGAAGCACATGGTGAAGTTTCCATTGTAGTGTATATCTGATGTACTGCAACATACCTGAATATGGGGACCAAAATATACATTGATTCCAGAAGAGTGAATTTAGTAAAGTACCTTTAAGCCATTTTGTTTGAAAAAAGTCCTGATTTGGACCATTTCTCTGTCAACAGGGATATACAGGCTTGATTCTCCAGCCTGCTCCACCACTTATATGGCTACCTCTAACTGTATAAAGTGCTATCCAACAGATATCCTCACTCTCCTACATCTGTGGCAATCTGTGTTTGATAGCCTTTTGCTGTTACTTCCTCACAGAGGCGAAAAAACATATGAAGTACAAAGCAGTGGAGAATAAAGTTGTAAGTAGTTGCTACAAGGGGACTGTTCCTTAAAGGAGAATACAGCTAATATTCCTATTTGTGATCCCAATCTTTGGCTGTGGTTCTACATGAGGCCAGTCCAAGCTGCACACCACGCTGCCCAAAGGGATGCAACACACTTGGTGGGAGACCAGCAGAGTCTGAACGAAAATCTTGCAGTATTGGTTCTTGCATCTCTTAGCATACAGTTAACAAACCAAGTAAACAGGAGGCAAAACTTCACAGCTGGCTTAAATGAGCTACATGAGGGAAGAGGAGGGAGGAGAAATAACTGGACATCTTTTATCCCAGGCACCAAAATCTGATAAAATGCACATTCACTTCAGCATGCCAGATGAGTCACAAAAAACCTGTGCTGGTTTAAACCACAGAGTGCTTCGAGCAACATCTAGAAGTTTAAACAGCTAGAAATTATGGCTTTTTGGTGTGGTAGAGGCCATTCACATCTGATTTACATTTGGGTTTAGACTTTAAATACTTGCCTTCTTAATGGTTCAGTTCTTCTTCAGTATAAGAGGAGCTACTTGAATTGAAATAAGACCAAAACAAAAATGTAAACAAAAGCTAAAAACTACCCATAACTAAATCAATAGTAATATGATTATTTTTTCAGTTTGATTTCCCAACACATACACTCCCATTTCCCCAAGTACAGTACTGCACTTTGAGGGAGAAATTCTGAAATGCCACTGGACTAGCTGATTATTTCTTGATGAATTCTGCAGTTTCAGAAGATCTGGAAAAGCAGCTGAACTTCAGCTCTGTTGAAATGTGTGTCTTGCTGGCTAAACACTCCATGAAATAGACTTTCTTATTTTTTTGCATACCTTGCTAAGAACATCATCACTCATAGATTTGATAAAAATAACAAGGAAGGACAGTTTGGAGTAAAAGCACACAATGTACCAATTTAAAGCTGGTGAGAGGTGTCAGATGAACTTTCTGGTACAACACGGGAGCCTCTGTGTGTATTCAGTCCTTGAGAACACCAGTTGTGATGGTTGTTGATGGACTGAGGGCTGAATCTTACTCTCCAATGGCTACTGAGGAGCTGGCTGACTGGAAATGATGTTTAGGCACTACTGACTTGCAGGGGATTGGAGCCAGCATTGTAGAAGCAAAAGATGCTCTGTCAGTGCCAATCCCCACAATCATCTAGTCCTTTGGAGTTCGCTTTTTTTTTTTTTTTTTTTTCCCCCCCCCACGTTAGCCAGAAGCAGCGTGGCTAAATACATTTCAAAACAGGAAAAAAGTCTGACCTTGTGTTACTCAAAAAAGTGGTGTGGTTTGTCTTTTCTATTTTTTTTTAATTGCAAAGCTTTGACCATTTTTAATTGAATGTGCTCTGCCTCCCTTGTCCCTACTCCAAGCCAATATGCTCTAAAATGCTTCTCTGGCTTAGTATACCTCTTTTTAGCTGCTTATTTTGGTAAGCATCTTATTAATTGCCTGCTTGACATGGGTGGTGGAGCTTCGTCTCCGAGTCTTGCCCTGGACCATCTTTCGACGCCGTACCTCACGACAGAGCTCATAGAAGGCCTCCATAATATTGCCCTCTCCTGTGCAAGCAGAGCACTCATAAAAAGCACATGCTAGTTCTGTGGCCAGCTTTTCACCTTCCTCTGTGCTGACCTGCCTGGAGTGATCCAAGTCTGCTTTGTTCCCCACCAGGATCAGGGTGACATTTTTGGGTTTTTTAACTTCATCCAACAAGTTCTTAAGTGGCAGCACTTCCTCAAAGCTGCCTCTGTCCGTGATATCGTAAACCAGCACAAAGCCTTCACCCCATCGCACATGTCCTTCTTTCTGAATAGCATCCTCCTGTTTTGAAAAGACAGAGACCAGCCTTAGGAATTTGATTTACCAAGAAGGCACCAGGCCTTCAGACAGACATTGGTCTTCCAAAGCCTGCAAAACCATGTACATGTACTTTACTTTTTACTTTACACACATCACCTTTTTTATCTTATACCATAGGAGATCTACTCTACCAAGGTGCCATGAGCTGCCCGTGGACAGGCTGGTAACAGGCAACTGGAAGAGAGTCTCTATTATATGGTACCCAGCACATGAACTGTGCAGTGTGGGCACCTGCCATTTTTGAAAGGAAGGGAGACCTGATTGTGACAAAACTGCTCTTCATTTTGGTGGGAATCATTGATTGAGGCTGTCAAGTCACATCACTTGACTGTAGAAACAGACTTTGACTTTGTGCACAATAACAACATGTTGTTGGGTTGCATCTGAATCAAGGAATGAGAACAAAATAATTTTAATCCCAGAGTAAACCCTGACTTGTTTGCTCTTCCCATGTTTGAAAACTCTAAGCAGTGTCCCTTGCAGAAGGGTCTGGATCCAGCATGCTGATGGTGGTGGAGGAGGGGGGGCTCTGCTCAGAAGCAAATCTCTGTCCCCACAAGCAGCGCACACCTGCCGCCCACCGCACTGCTGCCACCACCGCACTCCCCTTCCCCGCTCTGTATCCGAGACAAGGTATTGGATGATAGTGCATGTACCCACGCACCTGACCAGCTGTATCTAGTATCTCCATGGAAACCACTTCATCATCAATGGTAGCTTGGTGACGATATGTAGACTCTAAAATAAGAATACATTGTGTGAAACGTATTAAAAGAAGGTAATTTTTTTTTTTATTATTATTATTCTTCCTTAGAGCTACCCCAGCACAAGACCTGAGATGTGACATACAGCTTCACTACATTTTATTTGCTGGAGCATTCCAGCCACTCTGGAGCATACTCAAGCCCTCCTTTCTATGACAGTGACTCTTTTACCTCTCCCCATACAGCACAATTCTTTCTTTCCCATGTCTTATACCTGCAAAGGGCTATGACCATGGATGATGCACTCTGCACCCAACAAAAGGACAGTTCCCTTCTGCAGCCCATTTGTCATCTTGCTCATAGGGAAGGCTGCCACCTATGAAACACAAATACCGCGGCTCTCAAAGTATCCAGTTAAACAGCCTGTCACTGTGTAGCGTGAAGTCTCACAAGATCAAAACCAGTATGGTTGCAGATCAGGGAACCTAACCACTAAGCTCAGGCCTTATACTGTGATAAAATTACAGAATGGTTTGCTATTTTAGGAATGTCTCTTTGAAACGTGCTGAAATCATCACATTCTCCTAGCAAGAGCTCAAGCAGTGATGTCCCTGTGTATGATTTATAAGGATAACCAGTAGGAATTAAGCATTCACACTAAGCTACAGGAACAAAAAAGGAACATATTAATTGTGTCCCAGGTTCTGGAACTAGGAAACTAATCAGAAAACTAATGACAAAAGGGCTTGTTTTATCTTAATGAGCTGATAAGTTAAATTTGATAGCATTGGACCTAAAACTTGGAAAATTATCTGTGCTAACATTCAGATTTATTACTGTTGCTAGCTCACAGATGTCCTATATCAAAAGGCAAATGTGTATGCTGTAAAACTGTGGCCAGGGACTATGAATGCTTTGCATTGTCAGAGACACAATTCTTTTATTTGGTGCAAATCTCCTAAATAGGAATGAAGGATATCTTTAAGGAAACACATTTCTTTAATTTGAACCTCTGAAAGGGCTCATGTTTAGTGAATGTCTTTTTTCGCTACATACTTAATGTCACCCCTTCATAATCATGAATGTTTCAATGCCGTCAGTGCTGCAAACACTCTTTTGCCGAATCAAAAATGTCACTTCCCTCCTGTGCCACCTTAATTGCTTTAAGTAGCACAGCTGCCTCTAATAGGGACAAATGGTCAATTTAATTAGGCAGATGGCAAGCAATGTTGCCCTAGGGTCTCAGGCAATGAAGACAAGTTTTTTTAAAGGCTGTAAATACCCCTTCTGTTCAGTATTGCAAGGCTGTTGAAAGAGTTGGAGTCCTACCTTTGTGGTTCTGAGGCTATATCTACACAGCAGAGTAAGACAGGGCTGTGTCTCATCTGTCCCTTCTGGATCCCTCCTAGCTACAGCAATTACTCCAGGGAAAAGCAGAAAAGGCAGGAGCTCTAGTTTGGCATGGAAGCTGCAATGATGTACCTTCAACAAGTTATGTCAGTGGCTAAAATGTTCAGTGCTAGGTTGGGACCCCCTGTGCAGCACTTCGCTTCCAAGATCCTTTAGGAGCTTATACTCTGTTTCTTTGGGGGAGGGTGCTGTGAAGTAGAGATGGCTCTCTGAGTGAGTAATGTGATACTAGCTCCTTACTTGCTTAGATCTTGTAATGCTTAAATGCCTTCAACCATCTGGCCCCGCTTGACAAGTAGCTGTTGAGAATGGGTCCAAACAATTTAAGAAGGTGCTTATCCAACTATGTTTGCAGCAGATCTGTGAAATGTCCTTCTTAGGAGGCAGAGTCCAGTAGGCTATATGGCCCTTCCCCGTGAAATGGAAGAATAAATCTCAAGGAATAGACTTGTCCTTGCTGCAGAAAAGCAGCATGATTCTTAAATGATACTCAAATTCTCCAACAGGACTCTGGCAGCACTTTATGTTGCAAGTTTACACTCACTTTGGCTGCTCATGTTGGGATGGAATTTGATCCTGGACAAGTAGCAGTGATTTGGGTTGGATTAGTGTAAATACGTCTTAGAAAATGTGTGTCTGTTACTGTGCTTTGGAATGTGTGGTAGCTGGGTGAATTTTAATGAGGAGTGTAAAACAGCTGGATGTTTAAAGCATTTTTTGGTGTAATCACAGACATGGCTTCTCCTTCAAGGGAACGGAAACATCTGAAGAATCTGGTCATCTTGGAAGTTACAAGCACTGAAGTTTTGTGATTTCCAGTCTGTTCACATCGATCCCATGGTACTTCACAAATGCATTGACTTGCTTTGGCATTTATTAATATCATTGTTCCCCGTGGCACTTTTTTTTTTGAGAAACGCAGCTAGAGAGAAATTAGATGACTTGAGATACCTGCTGGATCCTGAACTGAAACAATCAACAACACAGGTGTCTGTGTCTCAGTTAAGAACCCCTGACTCCTATTAGAGTTGATGAAGTAACATATGTGCTAGATATAGCTTGTCTTATCTCTCTCCTGGGATAAATCACATCTCAGAAGCACTTAGAAGTCTAAAATTGTTCAGATGAATCCAGACTGTAAATGTCTTATGTTTGCATCATCATCACCGTCAAATAGAAAGAGCAAAGTGTAACACTGTACCAGTGGCTCCCAAGATGAGACTATAGGCAAATTTCTGAGCTTCAGATTGTCATTGGCACCAGGTGATGCTTATATATTATATCTATAGCTATGTGGCTACAACTCCATAGATAGAAAAGAAACCTCAAAGCTCCCTTTCACTCTTCCCAGACTCAGTGTGAAAACTGCTAGCCTCAAAGCAGAGTTAGGGAGCTGCTGCTGCTGACTGAGCTGTGGTGTGTCCGATGCTGCTAGTGCTGCAGAAACAATCGTATTTGGTGGTTTGCTCTGCTTCAATGTAAGTATGTAAATCTGACTGGTTCTTGTTGGTTTGGGGGTGTGCTACCCTTCTATTCATATTCTCAGTAACAAGATCAAAGGTGCTGATGAGTGAGGCTTTGAAAGCTGATGCCAGATTTCAGGGTCCCACTTGGCTATAAAGTTGCAGTCCCCCAGCACTCTTGCTGTGCAAAGCACTCTTGGTTCTCACAGTCCTCTCACTTGAAAAATTTAAATTTATTCCAGAAAAATTCAGAGCTGTCAAAAGGCCTGAGAAACATGTTGGAAAGTGGTAGAAGTTGGTTTGTTTTTAAGTCTATAACATATTGCCACAATAATTCATTAATAGGAACTGAATAAAATTTTCAAATTACCGCAGCTGCTGAATAATTATGGAAATGATAACTTCAGGGTGGAGGGGGAGAGTAATATTAAAAAACTCCCCTGGGGCTCTCTGTTGATAAGCATGTTACAAATCTCCCTGTTCTTCTGAGCAATATGATTTTTTTTAAAAAATAGGGAAAAAAAACTTACTAAACTTATATAGAGAAAACACTGAAGCCCTTGATCCATAGACTGTTCATGGATATGATATTCAGTCACAGCTTAACCACATCACATCCTTGTGCTATGCTTACTGTGACACATTGAATAGAGTTTTTGTCTAAAAGACTTAGCTGGTCATTTATCAAACCTGTTTGTCTGAGACTGTCCTGATCTATTGATTGGGAACTAGATGATTTTTAAGGTCCCTTCCAACCCAAACTGTTCTATGATATCTGTTCCAGAAGATTATATTTTCTAGAGCAAAACTATTATCTGAGAAGTAATTGCTAGTTGTTGGTTTATATTTGCAGGGATGTAAAAAGCCGTTTTCGGTACTTGTTTGCTTTGAACAGGCAACATATATCAGGGGTATGTCACAGCTTTGGAAGGAAATATTTGCATTGGAAGGGTTTATTGGTTTTAGGAAAACACTTGTAGCAGGAATAGGTAAATCAGCTGAGATGGAGCAATGACATACATCATTTTACATGTAAATTTAAGCAAAATCATGGTCTCTTGTTTGCTTTTAAGTACAGAGGGACACTCTGTTTCCATTCAGCATTTTAGTTCATTGTTGTCAAGAAAGGTTAATAAAACGAGGACATATAAAAATGCTCTAAGAAACTTTGGTCTCATGGTGGCTTTCAGCCAGTTGGATCTGAGAACTGCAAGAGATCTAGAGAAAGAGCTTTTGTGTAATAATTATAACTGAGTTTCCAGACCAAAAAGCTTCAGCTAGTAGGCATGAACTTCTAACTTACAGTTAAAGTCTTGTTGGATGGCAATGCAGCAGTATGTTTAAAAGACTACAATTTCACATAATTATTTCTGATTGAATAATAAAAGTTTCTGTTGTTTCTCTTTTTTTAAAAAAAAACCTCCCTGCTCATATAGACTCCTGTAGTCTTTGACATCCATCAGGATGGCACCTGTCTATCACATTTGAGAACAGTCACTTTGATAGTCCATTGAGAAAAAAATTTACCTCCATTACTAACCCTGGTGCTGTTTGATATGTTCTCCAGAGCCTTCACTGAGTCTGCCTTTGTGAAATCTGTCCCCCTCTGCATTTCCTTGCCGCTTCAGGAACTTTTCACCTTTTAGAAATCCCCTGTAAATTCAGTGTACCTTCCTGACTCAGAAAGTCTTGCCTGCTTTCTTCCTTCCCCACCCCAGCTCTTCCCAAAACTCAGCTGAATGTATTTTTCTTGCTTGCATCTGGCTGTTACTTAGTCCATCCATTATTTACCTTACAGGAGGGTTTTTATTTTGCAAAAATCAGTGGGTTTACAGTAAGCACAGTACTGTCTTTATATATTTAGAACACATTTCTAAGGCTAATGCAGTGTATCCCCACGTCTCCTTATTAACTGATACTACAGACCCAAAAATAAGCAGAGTTGGGTTATTTATCAATAATACCATCAAATGATATGTCATGCATTGTTACTGCAATCATTATCACATGTAAAATAAGAAAAAGTATTAAGAAGAAAGTTACTGAAAGGAAACTCTGTGACTCTGACAGCTCTGATAATTGGACTAGGACTCTTCAAAGTTGTAAGTGTTTCTGCATGTGTAACCCCAAGGGTCAGGAAATACTGAAAGAAAAGTTCCAG